CCGAACCACATAGGTGCTTTCCAGCCAAAGGTAGGTCGTCAGGGTTGCTGTGGATACGTCGTTGTCGTCGTCATGGTAACGGTGGTGTGCATCCCTACGTGTCGTTCGTCTGCCTGCGTTTTACGCGGACGTCGTGGTGGTGTGTGCTTCTTCCCTCCCTCTCAGCCTCCCTCCCGCTCCCTCTCTCGCTTTCTCTTAGTTCCTCTTTCAGCCTTGCTCGCTCTCTCTTGCATCCTCGCTCCCTCCCAGCCTCCATCCATAGCAGCTGCCATCTCTCTCCCCTCCCTCCCAGTCTCTCTCTCTCTCTCTCTCTCTCACACTCTCACTCCCAGCCTCTCACCTCCTCTCTCTCAGTCTCTCCCTCTCACCTCCTCTCTCTCAGTCTCTCCATCTCACCTCCTCTCTCTCAGTCTCTCCCTCTCACCTCCTCTCTCTCAGTCTCTCCCTCTCACCCCCTCTCTCTCAGTCTCTTCCTCTCACCCGCTCCCTCTCAGCCACCATCAGCGTCCGACGTCCTGGGTAAAACAGTTGGTGCATTACTTTTCAATGTGGCTGCGTTGACGAGAGCGTCGTGCGTGCGTGCGTGCGTGCGTGCGTGCATGCGTGCGTGCGTGTAGGGGGAGGGGGCGGGTCTGCTCTCTGGGCCACGCACGGTTGTCGTTTTCACGTTATTAGACATAATGATTTTTTAGATATATATGATTTCTGTTCGTTTTTTTTACTCAAGCAGCGCGCGCTGGGGGTGTTGTACTGTACGCTCGCTCACAGGTGGCGCTAGTGTTGCTCGCGACGTCGACGCATCTGCGGCGACGACGACGACATTTTCTCGTCTGCGCGCTCTCTATAACAAACCGTTCTATTGTTTTCGCCGCAAAGAGCACACAGGTGGCGCCACTCGATGGCCGGACGTCAGCGCCCCCTGGTGCAGAGCACTTGCGCAGCCCTGCCGATCATTTGGCGCGGTCGCGGTGGGCCGTCTTCAGTCCACCCAACGCGTCCAGAGGCAACCCTAGACCGACCGTGCCGCCCGACAAAAAAGTAATGCATCTATCATATATATATATACACGATGGCGCGTATTTATGTGCGTGCGTGCGTGCGTGCGTGAGTGAGTGCGTGCGTGCGTGCGTGCATGCATACGTTAGAGTAGGATGGCTGAGTATGCACTAGACTAGAACTAACTTAAATCTACTAGCTAGCTGTATGTATGTTATACTCTCTCACGCGTGCTTGCTCTCTCTCTCTTTCTCTCTCTCTCTCTCTTTCTCTCTCTCTCTCTCTT